TAGAAGTTTCTAGAACTTTAAGCCTCATGTATATTAGAGCGAGAGGTTCTGCTGTAAGAGAGATTGATTCAAATTTGAAGAAGCTTAGTGCTGTAAATTGGTGAAGTTATCTTACGGAAATAAATTAGTTTGTTGCTGTTACCGGCGATCCTGAGTTCTGTCTGGAAACAACGCTGCTCTACAACGATACTCGTAACACCGACCATCCTCTAAACTACACGGTCTGATGATGGCCTCATGTGTGATCGTTCTATCTTAGAAGCTTGTTTGTAAAAGCGATATGAATGCAATCTTAGTTCTACTAGGGAAGGATATCTGCGATAAGCCCGATGTTTGCCAAAATCAAATAGTCAGTCAAATTTTGACATGTTGACGTGATGCTGTTTAATTAAAATCTCGGTGGAAATCTGGTCTGCTGAATAATTATAAGTGTATTATCAAGAAAGAATGTTACGAATAAATAAAGAAATCCAGTCAGGGACTACTTAACAATCAGAACGTTTCTTTAGGTACGGAAAAAGAGAAAGCAAGTCAGAAGATTGTGATTCGATTTATATTTACTGATAAGAATTTTGTACTTAAGCAAAACAAAGCAGTTGAGCCTAGTTAAGTATTGGAGTCAAAAGGTTCAATACTTTAAAGACTGACTTTCATTATATTTTCTAATCTTGTGGACTGAATAACGCCTCCTTAAGTAAAGTGAGGATACATGCAACAAAGGTGTTTTTAAGCTATATTCCCTTTCCCCAATCCAAGAGGAAAAAAGAAATCAATAAAAACAAAACATAAAAAATACCGCGATTACCTTGTTTCTGCGGTTGCCAGGGTTGATAAGTAAACAAACAAACAAATAAATAAATAAATAGATAAATAAATAAATAAATAGATAAATAAATAAATAGGTAAAAAAATAAATAAGAGATATGTCGTGTCTTTTGTATGCGTGTCGAGTTAAAATGTTTAAAGAACGCCTGCTAGCACGTGAATTCGAATAATTGACAAGTCAAGTGAACATCAGTCGAATAGAATATCAATAGAATTTGACTGATGTAACAACTTTCGCGTGCACGTGACATTTTTCTTTTGAATAAGTACTTTCAACTTTACTGTTCTGAGAGGTAGTATGCATGTTAGTTCGCGAAGAAAGTTTCGTAAGGAAGTTCAGAGAATTTCGAAGCGAACGTAGATTGAGACGTGATGCGTAGAAACGCACATTAAGGCTTAGAAAATTGTACGACGCCGTGAAACTCTGAGGCAAAGGTCAAAATTAAAACGTAGAGTTTTCAAGATAAATAAATAAGTTTATTTATCGATATCGAGGTAAAACACTTTACAGTCCTGGACTGACAAACCGTTGTGGCCCTCACCTAAATTACAATAACAATAATCGGCCGTACAATAAATAAAATATATACTGATTTATAAAATTAATTACAATAATTTAAAAATTCCTAACTGTGAATAATTACGATAATTGAAAAAGAACCTAACTATATATGCTATATATGCAATAAAGAAATAAATCTGTGGAAGCCCAGTCCTTACTGGCTAACGTATCATGGAGAACAATTATTCTTTTACACTGTAAGATTTCATTTCCTATTAGAAACAACTGAAGGAAAAAAAAACTAAAACAAATTCACTAAGAAAAAATACAATAAAAGTTAACAAAATTTTCGTTTAAGTGAATAACACTCCCCTAAGTGTTTTGTGATGAATATGGTGTCCATTTGAGCCTGGTCTTATCTCTAAAACGAGATCGGTTAGCATACGTACTGATGCAAGCCAAAAGAAAAATACAGAAGCTCGTAAATTTCAGAACTAATTATCACTCGAAAGCCGGTTTCAGGGAAATGGCCTCAAAGAATATATGAGAATAAGTAAATCGACAAAGATTACCAAAGCATTTATGAAATGCAAAAATTGAACCCGTGCGTTTGTATCCTTTGCCGTTAAAGAGTTTCATAATTCAGACGGCTACTTGAGGTACACTGAGTGCGCTAAACACGGGAGAAATTAACTCTGAAAAGCCATACTCCGCTTGTGGGGAAGGAAATTGATGACGATTAAGGGTCGCAGTGTTTACAAGCAGGGAGGGTTACCCTAGCAAGCGGGTGTTGCCTTATAAAGCGGGTTACCCTAGCACTCACACATTTCCTCTTTTTTCCTTCGTCGTGTTTACAAGGCAGCTAGGGTTACCCGGATAGGTAGGTTACCCTATCTGCATGCTGGGGTTACCTTGGCAGGTGGGTTAACTTTTTCCCTTGTAAACACTCCAGGTAGGGTTAACCCGCCTATCCGGGTTAACTTTCTAATTGTTTCCAGACCCTTTGAGTGTAACCGCGCATTAAGTTGTCCCGGGATGTAGGGTAACCCTACCTGTGAAATTTTGCTTGTAAACCTTGTAAACAGGCCCTAACTGGTACCAAAGGATGTATTTTGTTAGTTAGAGACTTCTGCGGACGCCGGTTAAGAAGGTTGTTCTAACAGCAATTTAAAATACCAAGTTCGTTGTAATCGTCCATGAAATCCCGACAATGTACTTGACAATGTAATCAACGTAATCTATTACTTTTTACGATCATTCTTGCTTAAAGACGATTTCTAATTAGTAGGCAGACCCACGCATGGAAATAAAAGTTGCTTAAATAGCATTGTTAAAGGGTACCAATTCTTAACCAAACCAACCGGCCCTCCAGGTTTGGGGGTTGGGCGCTGGGCTAACAACCCAGCCCCAGAAAAAGAAACAGACCTGTTACAGAAACCGCAACAACAAATCCAGAAAACAACTTGGCTCCGGAAGAGTCCTCTCCAGTAGAGGCTATGATGCGGGCTGGTGAAAGCCTTCGGGAAGCCAGTGCGCAGACAACTCTTCTGACAGCCAAAAGCAAGAACAGAATAGGGACCTGGAACATCCGAACCCTATATGAGGCAGGGAAATCTGCACAAGTGAGCAGGGAAATGCATCGCCACAACCTCAAGATGCTAGGGCTGTATGAAACATGCTGGAACGGCACTGGACGAACGCGACTGACGGGTGGTGACACTATCATCTACTCCAGACATGAGGAAGGACACCCACACGTTCATAGAGTAGCCCTGCTTCTGACACCTGAGGCAGAACAGGCACTACTCTCCAGGGAGCCAGCATCACCGAGGCTCCTGACGGCAAGGTTCAACTCCAAGGGGAGGAAAGTCACCGTCATCCAGTGCTATGCACCCACCAACGCAGCAGAGACCGAGGAAAAGGAGGCATTCTACGAACAGCTCCAGGCAGTGATGGATAAGATGCCAAGAAGAGACCTGAAGATCCTAATGGGTGACGTCAACGAAAAAGTGGGGTTAGACAACACCAACAGAGAACTCGTCATGGGAAAACATGGAGTTGGCGTCCAGAACGAGAATGGAGAGCTACTCACTGAGTTCTGCACCTTCAACGACCTGGTCATTGGAGGCACCGTGTTCCAGCATAAGCAGATTCACAAGACGACATGGACATCACCGGATGGGAGGACTGTGAACCAAATCGATCACGTCACCATCGGAAGAAAGTGGAGGAGAAGCTTGCTGGACGTCAGAGTCAAACGAGGAGCAGACGCAGCCTCGGACCATCACCTGGTGGTGGCAACCTTGAAAGTCAAGCTGAAAGTCTACAGAGACCGAGCAGACAGGCCATCCTACAAATACAACGTACACAACTTGAAAGACAAAACAAAGGCTGAGATCTACCAATGTGAACTGAGAAACCGGTTCAGCGCACTCGCCCACCAACCAGAAGAATCAGTAGAGGAGACATGGCATGGCCTGAGGGACACCTGGAAGGCCACATGTAACGAGGTCCTGGGGAAGAAAACTAGACAACGCAAAGAGTGGCTGTCAGCCAATACATGGACCCTCATCAAGGAGAGGAAACAGCTGAAGAACGACATCAAGCAGACCCAAGACCTGCAACGGAAGCAAGATCTACAGGCCCAGTACTGGGAGTTGAACCGACAGGTCAAGAAAAGAACCAGAGCGGACAAGAGGAGCTTCATACACGATCTCACAGAAGAAGCAGAAACAGCAGCTGGCAAAAGAGACATGAAGAGGCTGTATGAGATCACAAGAACACTGTCAGGGAAGAATAAGGCCCCCTCAAGACCAGTGAAAGACAAGAACGGCGAGACCATCACAGATGAAGCCAAAGAGAGAGCAACATGGTCAGAACACTTCCAAGAGATTCTCAACAGACACCCACCTCAAGTCCCACCTGACATCCCACCAGCAGCAAACCAGCTAAAGGTGAACATCAATCCACCAACCAAGGCCGAGGTCAGCAAAGCCATCAAGTCCTTGAAGTCAGGCAAGGCAGCAGGCCCAGACGGCATTCCACCAGAAGCACTAAAGGCGGACGTCCAGACCTCCACAGAGATGCTCCATC